CAACAGGCTGCCCAAGAGAGCTGTGAATCTTCCATCCCTGGAAGTGCTCAAGGTCAGGCTGGATGCAGCCTTGAGTAACCTGGTCTAGTGTGAGGTGTCCCTGCCCATGGCAGAGGGATTGGAACTAGATGCTCTTAAGGTCCTTTCCAACTCTGTAATTCTATGATTATATTCTCCTGAGACATCAGAACTCCATAGAGAAGCCTGCACAAAATCTGTATGGTCAGGAGCAGGCTTTGTGCCCAGGCAGAGTGCTGTATGCCATTTGCTACAGCATTTCCAGAGGAATAAATGACTGAACCAATCTGATGGATTCTGATACCTGACTTTTACGGAAAATATTCAGGCACATTCCACTCACAATACGAAAAACGTCTCCAATGCTGTGAGATTATCTAAATAAACCACATCAACTCTTCCTAATCAGAGAGATGAGGTGTTATTTTAAAACCTGCCAAAAAATTTTAAGCCAAGTGGTGTGGGATGTTACGATTACAGGGCCTCAAAAGAGTTATTTGTCTCTCTTTATTTTATTAAATATTCCTAGACATACCCTTAGGATGACAGATCAATAAGTGCCTTTGCGGTTTCCTGATAGAAGGCAGCAATTATTTTCTTCCATTACAATATAAGCATAACCCAATTTTACTCATCTATCATGTGTGTAATGGTAATAAAGAAGTATCACCATGTGTTTATTTTACTGTCACTTTATCTTTTGTTTTGGTGATCTTCTGTTTTCATTTCACGTTCTTCCAATTGTTTGTGCCTTTCAACTGACAGGAGTTGTGACCAGTTGGTCTTGCTTGAGGACATTTGTTGGGAACATGGTAGCAAAAGCCTGTTTCTCTCTTCCTGTAAGGTGAATGGAGTACTTTCAGCTTTCACATGAACTTAGATGCAGAAGAAACAAAGCCACAAGATCTTCACAGAGCTGAATTTGGATTTCATTTTTAGAGGTGCTTTTCCATGGAAATCAATAGTGATTGAAGTCAGGTATCAGAGGACAACTGGACTCCCAACTGCTTAGCACATAAGAGACACAGCAAGGCTAAACAAAGCCTGTAAAATCATGAACTAGCTAATGACAATTGAAATGTATAGTTGAAATTGTCAAGGCTAAACTGAACCTATTTCCTCACTTAGAGAATCATGTTTAATCCATACTAGAGGTGCACACTACTGAACTATGTCTTCAAATAAAGTAAGCAGCATTTGTCTGCCCCTCTAAGTAACTTCTCTGTTTTGAGGAGTACCATAACAGGGCTGATGGTGACTGTGACCAGATAAACTCTGCTAAAAGCCTACATTCAGTTTTCTCTTAGTTGTGGGTGAGGAGATTCCTGAACAGTGATTCAAAACCCTCCACAGAGCTACCTTTGTCCTGACTCAGGCAATAAAACCCTGTTACTATTACTCCAACTTTTCCTTTTAATTCAAAGCCAGTTCTGTTTCCTCCTTGCTGTCACTCAAGTGACAGCCAGCTCTTCACTGAAGGAAATTATTAGGAAGTGCTAACTGGTCACAGCTCTGCTGAGGTACATCTGATACCAATCAGATGCGCCATCGAATTCTCTTTTCCTATCCCTGACTTCAGTAAGCCCAGGCTTTGACTTAACATGTATGTCACTTAAACAGAACTGGAAATGTTTTATTTTCACTTTGTAAAGTTTTCCACAAGCACTGGAATAATCAAAGCACAGTTGTTTCTGGACTTACATCTTGTGGTTGGTTGACTCTGCTGTCCAGCTAAGCTCTGATGGAGACTTTTCCCATATGTGAGTAATACCTGATTTGGTCCCTGTGTGTCCTTTTAGTGTTTGTAAAGGGGCTCCTTAAACTTTGTCAGTTTCCATAGCCTGAGCATATCCTGGACCTGCCTCTGGATTCACACGTGGGTTCACATCTTTAAGATTTCTTATTGTTGTGGCTGTCAGGTCAACTGCCAGAAAGACAGGTATGCAGTAGCATAACCACATAGCTTCATTCCTTTAGGAAACAAGGCTAAAAACTAGACAATTTTGTCAACCACATCAAGATGAGTTGAGATAATTATTTTTTTAATGTTTAGAATATGAGAAGCACGAGTTCAGGAAGTATTTTGGATGTTTTATTCTGGTTTATTTTGACCTAATTCTACCTTCAGAAGCTCCAGACTAAATAGTCCTGAGGGACAGCCACTCAAAAAGATGGACTATCAACAAAATTATGTACAATTGTCTTGTGGGACCTCTTCTGATAACATGAAATGGCCTTCATCAATCAAATTCTAACTGTAAATTATCAGATAGCAGTCTCTTGCAAACATTGCTAAAGGCTCATTTTTCTTTTTAACGTTGATGCTAGTGGTATACCATATTCACTGCTGCTCTGTTTTCACTGTCCTATGACTTAATCTCACAGTGGTCAGTGCCTTTCACTTGCATCAGTGGTCTGTGGTTTCATTCTCTCGACATCAAAGAGAAAGATCATCTTGGCTACATTACAAAAAAGCAAGTTTTGAAATTTGCCAAAATAAACGGTGACAAACTCTCACAATTTATAAAAGCTTTCTTTTAACTTGAAGATGGCTTACAAAAGGGGAAAAATGGGTTATAACCTCATGCACGTTTTTATAATATACAAAAAAAAAAAAAGGCCTAAGAAGAGTTGAGGGGTTTGGGACTCTTATTATTATTTTATCTCCATCAAAATCAAGGAAGACCAGATTTGACATTCCTGACACAAGCGTAAGAAATAACGTGCTTTCCTCCTTCTGCCTGTTCTTTCCCTTTCTTCACTTCCAACTTTGTAGGTCTATTTTACACACCTAAGAAAAACAGGTGTATAAAGGATGCTTGGCAAATACTTGCCAGCCTTTTCAACCAATTAAAACCTGAAAAAACTCAAAGAACACTTTTTATTGGAGCCATAATGAGTCCTCTGGAATAAAGCAAAGGAAATGGAACAACAAACCTTGAAGGCCTTGATATTTCAGTGTTAAGCAAACAATCCTGACAAAAATTCTGCCTGCCTTTATGCCATTTAATTTAAAGGAACCACAAGAAATAACAGAAACATTTTCCTCTTCATCAGTTTAATGTAGCAGCAATCAGGTTTCTGATGGCATTTCTTGAAAATGGGCAACTATAGCAAACATGTCTGCAGTATAAGACATTCAGTTCTGATATGCAAAGCAGCAGCAGCCCCTGGAAAAGCTTCTGAAACAGGAAAGTACTTCCCAGCATGTGAAAAGTGGCAAATCATTCTGTCAATATTTTAATGGTATACTTTGCTACGAAAAGATCACCTTATGAAACGGGTGTACAGGCAAGTACAGAATGAGATAAGCTAAAGGCTATGAGCATTAAAGACAGTCACTCACAAATAAAATACCCCAGGAATAAGGAGAAAAAAGTACTTTCAGAGAAAAACAATATTCATTGTTAAAAAGAACTGAAAAATATTTTTAAAAGGAGGGTAAAACCTAAAATGAAAAATTAGGACAGCAATAACAGTGAAGAAAGATAAGAAGTTACTGTGCTAAATGTCTGCTAACTGGCTTTTAGCACCTGAAAATTGCCTTTCCCCCCAAAGAAAGGGAATAAGACGCTATGCCTGTTGTGGCTGCTGTATCAGAATCCTCTGATGATGCCTGTATCTGTGTCGAACACCTGGAGCCTGCGATAAGCAGTTATCCCCCTGTGGTGATGAAGCTCAGACTGGGCTGGACCCCACCTTGAGCACATTCGCTGCTGAGGAGGCACCACAGAAGCTCTGTAATGGATGCTTCTCCCCAGACCACCCTGTCTCACCCCTGGCAGTGACAAGCAGTCCTTCTCTATCATGCAAGACACTTCCACCTCCAACCAGGGCACGTGTCAGCATCCTGTCCTGATGCCTTATGCTGGGCAGCTGTGCTGAGGAGGACTCTGGTGGCATTGGGGTGATGAAAATCTGCAGTTTTCACCCTCACTCCAGTCATCCCAACAATGGGACATGATAGATCCCATCCACCTTCACTGTTGCTCCATCCTGACACAAGCCTCCTCTTGGCTTGTGAGGCTCAGCAGAGCCCCATCATAACGACTCTGGCCCTGCCCTCTGGTAGAAGGCAGCATGCCAACTAGGAGCTCCAGTTCTCTTGCATTTGAGAAAAGAAAGCTTCCCAGAGAGGACATACAAGGCCCTGCTGCATAAGCAGGTACAATTCAAAGCTCTAATGTTCCATGTTTCAAAATAAATGTTAAAAGTACCCAACTCCCAGATTCTGTATTTCCTTACAAGAGCTGACAGTGGCATAGACACTGGCCAGAAGGGAAGAAATAACTTCTGTGCTACCTTCCCTCACAATCTTTCAGGTGGTTGGAGAGCAGCAATCACTCAAACACATGGTGTACAGAAAGGCAACTCTCCCATCTGAGACCACCTGTATCCTCATTCAGGTACACATTCCATAGGTGTTTCTTTCATTAAGAAAGCTGGTTTCTGTGGGACTGTTTCTGTATCAAATATGACTAACTGAATTACAATTTGGTTCTTCATGGCATGTTCTAAACAAGCTCTTTCATTATTTTTTTTCTAAGGAGGGCAGTGATTCAGCATTAACATAGTTTAAAATATGAGTGATACTTTCAGGGACTCCTCAGTGCACATGGATATGAACGTTACTGAATACTTTTCTGAAATATTAAAAGAAATAACTGCCTAAATATTCCATTTATCTGCATCACACTGTCAAGAAACACAATTACTTACAAACTAACAAAAAACCCCCAGGATTCCCCCCCCGCCCCGTTCTACTAATACTTTTTTAGTTCCATAATGTGGACCTCAGTGATTTTCACACTCAGTTTAAAAGAACTAAGCCTTGCAGAGATTCATCATGAGCAGTGCCAAGTAATTTGAAATTATCAGGGGCTTACATTCTGTACCTGAAACTGACGAGATGGGTACTTGGCAATGGAGTAGGCAAAGAGATGAGGAGAATCCCCAAATGCAGCAAATTAATTGTCACTTACCCTGTTCAAGCAGTATTTGCTCTCTTTCCCATAAAAGTGCTGGAGACATTTCATATTCTGCTTGTCGACAATCTTGTTGAAGAACTCGTTGATGGTTCGCACAGAGACGGCGCAGACAGCAGATCTGTTGGTCGGTTCGGAGGAGTCTGGCTTGCTTTGTGCAAAAACACCATAGAGAATATCATCATTCAACCCAAGGCCCATTTCATAGGCTAGGGCTGCCCCCGGCTTGCTTACATAGGCAGCTTGCAAAATGTTGAATACCTCCTTTCGGATGGACCTCCTTCTCCGCTTTTCGGTAAAAATACACTCAAGAGGCATTTCCATGTATGAACGCATCTCTGAGTCTAAAGTGCAGAAGCGGATAATTCTAGTGTGAAAAGCCTGGGAGTCCAGAGATTCTCTCTGGACAGTCAGAAAATAGACAAAGTGATCGTTTTCAAAGGCATGGACATACCTTATGGGATATGAGTCGCGGAACTGAGGGAGGATATCTATGTAAGACTGATCTGTGAGAAATTCAAAACCATCCTGTGTTTCTTTTAGCCTTCTAACAGATATTGAATGTAGCACACGGGGAGGTTGAAATGTGGAAGATACGGTATTTCCAACAAAGAAGTTGACAAACCTGTCCTTTTCGGTCACCAAAACTTTGGTTCCTAAAGTGCTTACAACACAGTCAGGACAATTTTCAGGTTCTCCGTCCACCCGAGGAGAATACATGCAGTGCACCTCACTTTCAATGTCAGCAGGGTTGTCAGGGTGAATGATGTGGCGGTGGCAGATGCCTCCAGACATACTACCACAGCTGATGAGCTGATCATCATAATAAGTTTCTAAGAGCAGAGCCATGTTGACATTATCCTTCCATACGCTGTTAGAAAGATTGGCTTTATCTCTGCAGTCTTCACACGGTGAGCAGTCAGGGTTCTCCAAAATGGGCCCAGTCTTATACACAGAAATGTTCTGGAGGGTTTCATTTAGCACATAAATCTTGTTGATTGCTCCAATATAAACATGATGCTTGTATAAAACTACATTCTGAATCGGTGTTTCTGCGATGAAGTTAGGAAGATCATAATTTACAGTCAAATTCATCTCTGATTTTTTAGCTGCTTCTTTACATTGTCCATGGCTCCTTTGCAGCAAGGCAAACAGGAATACAATAAACCCAGAAGGATATGCAGTAAAAGGCTTCATTGTCAGAGATTTAATCTGTCAAAATATGTTTAAAGGAAAGGAGTGGTTACATTTTGTATACTAAACCATCAGTTTATCAGTCAACACAAATCTGTTTCTAGGCTGCATGTATTAGCACAACTATTTCAGTTTAAAAAGTGTTGTAATATTGCTTAATGTAATTAATAGGCTTGTGCTAGAAACTGTTACAATTACTGGCTTTTGTGGGTACACATTTCACTGCTTTTAGAACAATTCACAGAAGGATTTTCTTACAATAAATTTTGCAAAACAGTTGTACAACAGCAGAAGACAGATGACTGCTTCCATACTGGCAATGCACCAGATGACTGATAGGGTTTACAACAAGATGGTGCACAGGTAGCTAAAAGCAAATCTGCTCAAGACACTCAGGACACAACTGCACACAAAGCAGTTGTGGCACTTTGGTGTGCACATTTGGCAAGTTCCTCAAGGGGCTGAGCTGGTTCTTAGTGCAGCTGCTCAAAAATGATAAATAGAAAAGACATGAAATTATGTGAAGATTTGAGCTGGAAGTGGGCTTCTTTATTCTGCTGACATTTTTGATTAGCCAAGGAAGAGATTTTTTTTTCCACCAGACCAAAGGTAGAAACCCTCCCCTCTCTCCCTTGAGATCCCAAATTACTGTCTTTCATGAGGGCCTGGTTTGGAAAAAAGAATGGTTTATTTCAGCCAGCTCTACTTCTTGGAATAGCCGTTTTCCCTAGTGTTGGCAAGGTTTTGTAATATATTAGAATATTTTATGCATCATGTGGTGCCTGACATGTACAAGTTTTATTTTAGGTCTTGTACCACAGCAGTAAGTCACTCTGGTGAACCTTTACAAGATACAGGAGTATCACTGTGTTGTAAACAAAGGGATATCAAGTGACCTACAGCCATTAACTGATGAAATCAAACAACCTAGCATTTTTCTTTCTTTTTTTTACTTCTCCACACCATTGTTTGATGTGGCTTGAAAAACCAAAGACAGATGACTAGTGTGATATTTCACCCCCTCCAAAGATCAATTAAATGAACTGTGGTTATGAGCATTTCGGCGCTGTCCACACTATGCCTTGTCACACCAGACATTTTCTGTTAGTGCCACGACACAGTTCTTAAGCCAAATTTAGCTGCTCCATGGGGAAAACAATTATACTTTCTAACAGCAATATGATCACATACTTTTGCAAAACACTTCTAGTTTGACTATAGTTAAGCAATTGCAGCTAATAAAAAAATACTTATGATTACTGAAAGGATTTAAAATAGTCAACCTTCAAAATGACAAACTAATAAAAGGAATATGTGCTGACTTTTTACTTCATTAAGACTAAGCAAAATGAAAATATGACTACAGACCAGAGGTGTTTCAGCTGTGTGTAAATTCAGTGTTTTCACAAGATTGCTTAGAACAGTCCATCAATATAATATTTCTCCTTCCTGCCTTGTGATATTTTATTTCAGTGTCCATAGAACTCTTTCTGTGGATTACCCCATTAATTACACAAAATAATAGGCTTTGGAAACAAAGAATTGTTCTTCTTCCCTGTTATCTGATAAAAATAATTGAGAGCTGGGGATAAAAATCAGAAACTCAGGCTATTTGCAAGTATTAGCTGCTAAGAACAAGTCACACTTCTGCTACTGAGAAATTCATATCTTCCTTTAAATCAACAACATTTTCTGATATTAGTGGTAACAGAATCCTGGAAACAAATCAAACATGGATTTAAGAGAAAAAGAAAATAAAACAATAATAAAAAAGAGCTGGGAGACTGCTCTAATTAGAAAATAGCCCCAGTACACAGAGCAGTGACTTCCGTATTGTTCAGGGCAAGAAACAGTTTTCTCATCCTCTGAAACTTCTTACTGGTACAGAACTTTTCCTGCTCCGCACTGGGATGAAACCAGAGCTTTCAAAGTTTGTGTGAAACACCCAGAAGTCACACCGGATCCAAGAACAACTAGGCTCACATCCCTACTTTCCCAGGGAATGCCAGCCAGGGAAGGTCCCCGCAGTGGGAGGAGTGGGAGCCTGATGTGACTGTCTGCCTCCTTCAGCCAGCACTTCTGCCCAAGAAACTGCTACAACTGATGTGTTCCTGCAGATTCAATTCTGACGAGCCAACGTGTTCTGACAAATACTAGATCAAGCAGAGAATTCCAAAAGTGCTCCATTTCTGACACAACGTGGAGGCAGGCATATCACTTACTGCAACAAGTTTAAACCCACATAACAAAGGTGGGACTGCGGCAGAGAGAGAAAACAGTAGGTGGGACAATAGTTAGATGAGGCTGACCGACCAACACAGGAAAGAAGATGCAAGGTTACCTGACAGACACTTACACTGCTGTAGTGTACTGTGGGCTACGCTCCTGCTTTAATGTGTTCCCAAACAGATTTTCCACCCAGTATGCCCCCTGGTCTTCAAGTTTACAATCCTCCCCATTGTTTCAGTGTCCAAAAAAGAAGATCCCTAGCTGTCCAACAGCAAATGCCAGTGTGCACTACAGAGACATTTAGTGCCAGAAATACCATCTTGACTTATTCTTTCCCTCAAACCACATCTTGGGATGTGAGGCCAGTATCCTCAGATAGGCTACTCTGCCTGTACTTGGTGAAACAGTACTGGTTTGAAACTGTGCTCTGGAGACAGAAAACTCCTCAGAATCCTTCAGCAAGTGATACTGGAACCAAAAAGCCTAACAACAAGAGCAAGGGCGGGACTCACACAAAGGATGCCAGGAATAATAGGTACTGTATTTCACCACCTCAGGAAGGAAAATATGAGCAAAAAATGAAAACCAAGTCATCTTTGCTTTCATGTTTGAGCTCCAACATTGTGTCTTCCTTTGTATGCTTTTGAAGCATTTCAAGCATCTTCCCAGACAGAAATCTGCTGATTTACACCTATGGGAAGCTCAGGATCATATTTATAGGCAGCTCTAGGGAAGATGGTTCCTCACAATGTGTGTCTCCAACACACTTTGAATCTTTCCTCTAGGTGCCTGAAATCAGAAGGCATGTGTTCTAACTGTGAGACATTTATAGCTTTGGGAGAACAAAGGAGTTATGTGAAAAGTACAATATGCAACTCCTTTTTTCAGGTATTTGTTTTTTCACAGTCCTTACACCATTTAACTCCACTGTTTCTCAGTAAGACTCCCATGACGTTTGGTGCCTATTTTTACCTCCATTTGACCCCAGGGTCTTTCTCTATTTCACTGCTGCAACCTCCATTGCAGAGCTGCCTTTTTGTAATCTCCATACCAGGTTATTGCAAACATACTTTACCTGAATGCCTCCTGAAGTAAAGGAGAACTCGGGAGAGTTAAAAATTCAGTCTCACCTCTATTCAACAATCCCAGGTCTCCTTAGCACATACTCAAATGTAGTTTCAGTGAACTTAAGCACTTAGAATTCTGATGAATTAAACCAAAAATACTTAGGCTACAAATACACTTTTTGAGTACAGGTCAAAGAACTAGCTGCTGTCTATCACTTTCAGAAGGAAAACAAGTAATCTCTTTGTTTCTGTAGCTGGTTTGAATGATGGATGCTGTTCATTCTTTTGTGACCTTCCCCTGACTTGTGTGTCAGTGTGTCTTTCATGTGTCTACAGAAGACTTGCAAGCTTTGGCCTGTGATAACTATCAGCAAGCAATAGCTGTGGATGGATTATTCCTTTTGTAAGAGATATTTTCAAAGCCTGTGTCATGATGTGCTCATTTTTCCATCCCTCAGCAGACAGTAGCTCGTGTAACTGATGAGAAAATGGATTTTGGTCAACCATTGCAAGTGGCTACTAATGATGTGTCATATTACTGTGCTTGGCAACCTCAAGTCCTATGGCTGATGCTTCCCACCAGGCTTGGTCTTGAGTGTTTGTGTACCATTAATGGCTTCCTAATGGCAAACTTTTCCCAACAAGTTTCATTCTCCCTAATTATGGCCTGGGTGATAATTTGTAAATATTGAACATTGTGTCTCTCTTTCACACTGTTTGCCATTGTACTGACAAGTCAGGCCTGGTCTTACTGTGGAATAATGTTCAAGCTGTCATAGCAATGAAGCCAGAAAACACAGTCATGCTTGTTTCCTAGCCCTCATTTCAGCAACTCAGGTCCCATTTGACTCTGATCACAAAGCACTCCATGGATCTGCACAAGCCAAGACAACATACTGACATGAAGGCAAATTTTTAAGTTTGAGGGATTTCATTTTTCCTTGTGTTACTACAGAAAAGGAAATGACAGGGTCCTGCATATCCCAGATAGAACGTGTTTGTGTAACAGATTTAGTCCTCAGATAGGCCATGTAAAGGCAACAGCAGAGCCATATTACTTCATATTTCAAAATCACTACTGTCAGCAAATGGTAGCCTTTTCCCTCTTCAAAGAAATACTTGATAGTATAGTTTTATATTTTTTCCAGTGGGACAGTACATCTTGCTACTTTGGGTTCTGACAGATTCGTGCTGGCAAATTTATGTAGGATAACCCTAGTGATAACTGCTCCTGAAAGTTGCTTGCTTTTCTACCCTGATCTGAAGTCTGTGCCAGTTCAGGACCTGATTCCCTGTGGATCAGAGGCCCTGCCATGGAGACAGCAGCATCATTTAATGAAACAGGGCAAATGAGAAGGCGAGATGGTAACAGCTCCATCCATCCAGTTTAATCTGTTGTTGCAAATCTGTCACAGCACTGGCATTAGCTTCAACACACTAAGCTCACAGTGGACGTGTCTTCATCGGACTTTTCAATTACTAATTGCACTTATTCTCTACCCCCCCAGATTAAAAATGTTCTTAAGCCAGAACTGCTAGCCTGAATTGGCTAATTTTAGTTAAAATAAAAGAGAGAAAAGGAAATTTGAGAGAATAAGTGAGCAACAAACATAAAAATGATCCACGAGTTGATTTCAAATGGCTAATCTGAGTTCAAATCTGTGTTCCCTTGTCTTCAGCACTAGTTTCAACTCTAGTTTAGGGTACTCATGCTGACTAGGG